GGTGGGCTTCGCTGGCTGCAGCGGCACGGCACGACGCCGCCCCCGCCCCACGTGGCCCACGTGGCCCTCGCGGCCGCTGCGAGACGCACACCCCGGGACACACACACCTCTTCTCCTCCTCCTCTCCAGCATCCCCTCTGGAGCGGCAGCAGAAACAGGTAAACAGAGGAACATGTCAAAGTCATGCGAGATACGCGGGGGGACAGGATGAGCGGGCGAGGGAGGGCTACACAGGCAGAAGCGGGGTGGGCCGGGCAGAGACAGGACTGAAACCAGCGGACCCTGAAGGCTGAGAACAGACCTGAGAGCACACCCGCACGCCCAGGGGCCGCAGCCAGGTCCTGTGCTCTGCCCCCTCTCGCTAGAGTCCCGGGGGGTCTTGCCATCTGGCCCCCCCACCAGCCTGTCTTTCTCCCCAGGAGAGGTTGCCACGGCTGTCGGCTGTGGAGCACCAAGCAAGCCCCATCCCCGCAGGGTTTCAGCTGTCCCAGAAGGAAGGAGTCTCCCGCAAGCCTCCTGAGGGCTGACAGGCCGGAGCCGTGGCCAGGCAGTGGCCACCTGCCCGCTCTCGGGATGGGGGAAGGCCAGAGGTCTCCCTCATGTCAGCGGGGAGAGGTTCACTTCGTTTGCGAGGAGACCAGGGCCCTGGGAGCTGCCAAGACTTCAAAGTCACGTGACTGGGGCCACCCCCTGCCGCCCATCTCTGCGCACAGCAGGCGGCACCTTTGCCTGCGGGGGCCAGAGATGGAGCCCGGGGTTGCTCCAGGGTGCTGGCATCAGCCCCTCATGGCCACCCCGCCTTTCAACATGGCTTTCCAGGGGGTCCTCTGGGGCAAGGCTGCCAGGCCCAGGGAGGCAGGAAGGGTCCGCTCTGGCTGCCCCCGCGGACTGAGCTGGGAACAGAGCCCGGGCAGCAGGGCGCACCCCGACGGCCTCATTCCCAGGAGTGTGCACTTTGAGGACTTCGAGGAGGGTAAGGCCAAGTCATGCCGGAGCCGGGGTGGAAGTGCTCGTGCAAGCTGGGAACCCCCAAGCTGTGCGTGCCCGGAACCTGCAGGCACAGGCCCGTGGGGGTGGGAGGGCCAGGAGCGTGGGCTCCGCGGCTCGCACTGGAAAGCAGGGCGCTCCCGGTCCTGCCCCTGCGGGCGGCCATGCCGGGCTCCTACCTGGTGGTGGGGGACCGCTTCCTCCGCTCACAGTGGACGGCGTCGAAGAAGGCCGCGTTCCAGAACCTCAGCGTGTGCCTGCGAGACAGGGCCCTGTGAGCTGCCCCGGGGAGGCCAGGCCTGGCCTTGGGGAAAAGGAGGCGAGGCTGGGTTGGCCAGGCCTGGCCTCAGGGGAGACAGAGGAGGCCTGGCCTGGCCCTTGGGGGACAGGGAGGGGGAGCCTCCCCTGGCGCCTGGGCTTCTGGGATGTCCCAGAGAGGCAGCGCAGAGAGGGAAGGGCCCGGGCCTCCATCGAGGGGAAGCTGCTTCGGGGCCCAGGCTCTGCGACTCCCTGAGGTGGCAGGGAGGCTGACACCAGCAGGGGCGGCAGGCGGGCCAAGGCCACCACGTGCGGAACCCAGATGGGCCATGTCCCTCGTTTCCACTGAGGCTCCCAAGGGGAAGTAGGGCCTGGGGGCTGTTCTAGAACGGGGTCTAGAAATGCCAATAGGAAGCTGTAGGGGCATGCCACGTGCAGAGAAAACCGTCCTGTTTACAGGGACACGCCAGTGGGAAAAACTCTTTCGAGTCAGGGTCTCCCTCTGTCGCCCAGGTGCAGGGCACAATCATGGCTCAATGTAGCCTCGATCTCCTTGGGCTCAGGCAATCCTCCCACTTCAGCCTCCCAGGTAGCTGGGACTATAGGAATGTGCCGGCACACCCAGTTAGTTTTTGTATTTTTTTGTAGAGACGAAGTCTCGCTATGCTCCCTAGGCTGGTCTCAAACTCCTGGACTCAAGTAATCCCCTTGCCTCAGCCTCCCAAAGTGCTGGTAGGAAAAACTCTTCCTCAAGAAGATTGGAATCCCCTACTGGGAATATACCCAGAGGAACTCAAATCAATCTACAAAAAAGATACCTGCACATGCGTGTTTATTGCAGCACTACTTACAACAGCAAAAACATGGAACCAACCGTGCTGCCCACTGAAACTGGACTGGATAAAAAATAATGTGGTACATATATATAATGGAATATTACATAGCCGTAAAGGGCAAACACATGGACTCTGCAGCAACTTGGATGGATTTAGAATCAATAATTCTCAGTGGTCTATCAGAGAAACAAAGAACGGAGTACCACATGTTCTCACTCATAAGGACCCTGAACATTTACCATAACGCTGTAAGAAAGGGATTGGCAGTAGCGGGATACTGCTGGGTTGGGGGGCACAACATCAGTAAGGGGAACTGATCTCAAACCAGACAAAGTGGGGACCAAAGGGAGGCCCAAACTTTACCTGTACAATGCCCACTTGCATACCCAATCCTGAACTGTTCCTCACATCTTTAAAATAAAAGATCGACATGTACACATTGAAAAAGAAGAAGATCGGGGTGGCAAGCTATGGTGTGTGGGCCTGAGCTGGCCCCCATGCTTCTGCAGGTGATGTTCCATCAGAACAAGCCCTGCTCACCGCTGGCACACCGACGACGGCGCGTCTGCAGACGGCAGCAGGGCTGTGTGGCTGCGAGGGAGACCACGCGGCCCGCGGGTCTAAATCCTCACCACCTGGCCCTTCCCCGCGAAGCTTGCCAGGCCTGCTCCAGACGGTGAGACACAGTGGAGCCACCGACAGGGTCACAGAGGAGGGGACCGAGCCACGGAGCAGGGGGACTGAGTCACAGAGGAGGGGTCTGAGGCATGGGGGCAGGGGCAGAGGTACAGGGGAGGGGGCAGAGGCACGGGGGAGGGGGCCAAGCTGGGGAGGAGGGGGTCCGAGCCACAGAGGAGAGGGGCAAGCCACGGGGGACAGGGGCTGAGCCATGGCAGCGAGGGGCCGAGCCACAGAGGGTCCCGAGCCATGGGGGAGGGGGGCTGAGTCATGGGGGGGCAAGCAGGGGAGGAGAGGGGCTGAGTCATATCACCAGGAAGCATGACCCCCTGGGCCAGCTTCTGCCTTCCCCACGTCCACATGGGCCTGGGCCGGCCTGGGCCTCCACCTCTGGGTCCTAGCACATCCTGGCCACACTTCTCATGTGGCCCTTGTTTTGTTACAGGCAATGGGACCACAGCTGGATGGTGGCTGTGGTCTCCAAGGAGGCTGGCTATGTCTGACACCTTGCTCCAGGGGCTGGCACGAGGCCCTCAGATAGGATGAGAGGCTTCCGGGGGGCGGGGTCAAGTAGCTCTGACAATCATCTGCAGAGCCGGACACTGGGGGAGACTTCTCCTGACCGTTGGTCTCACACCTCAACCATGACCTTTATTTTTACGTATGTCAGAGCTTAATTGGGATATAACTCATATACCGTAAAATTCACCCCTAAAGCATACGATTCAGTGATTTTTTTTTTTCTTTAAGGCATGGTCTCACTATGCTGCCCACTCTGGAGTGCAGTGGCACGATCATGGTTACCACAGGCTTGACCTACTGGGTCCAAGCAATCCTTCCTCCTCATCCTCTGAAGTAGCTGAAACTACAGGCATGCACCACCACGCCTGGCTAAGTTTTGTATTTTTTTGGTAGAGACGAGATCCTGCTATGCAGCCCAGGCTGGTCTCAAACTCCTGGGCTCAAGCGATACTCCTGTCTCAGCCTCCCAAAGTGCTAGGACTACAGGTGTGAGCCACTCACTGTGCCCCGGGCAACTTTTCGTGTGTTCACAGAGTTATGCAACCACCACCACTATCTATTTCCAGAGCGTTCCTGTCACCCCATAACGGACCTCCTCCCCATCAGCAGTTACTCCCTGTCCCCATATCCCCTGCCCACAGCCTGGCAGCCACAAATCCCGTCTCTAGGAATATGCCTGTTCCAGACGTTCATGTGAATGGAGTTGCACACTACGTGGCCTCTCAGGTCTGGCTCCTTTCACTCAGTGCAATGTTTCCCAGGTTCACCCACGATGCCTCAGGAATCAGGAATTCACTCCTTTTTAGGGGGCTGAATAATATTCCATGGTATGGCTGGGTGTGGTGGCTCAGGCCTGGAACTCCAGCACTTTGGGAGGCCGAGGTAGGAGGACTGCTTGAGCCCAGGAATGCAAGACTAGTCTGAGCAACATAGTGAGACCTCATCTCTATAAAAAAATAAAAATATATTAGCTGGGCATGGTGGCACACACCTGTAGTCCCAGCTACTCAGGAGGCTGAGGAGGGAGGATCACCTGAGTCCAGTAGGTAGAGGCTGCAGAGTGCTATGATCGTGTCACTGCACTCCAGCCTGGGTGAGAGTGAGACTCTGACTAAAAAAAAAAAAAAAAAAAAGTTTTTTAAAAATACTCTACCATGGACCAGGTGCGGTGGCTCAAGTCTATAATCCCAGCACTTTGGGAGGCCAAAGTGCTCCCAAAGAACAGCCTGGGCAACTTGGCAAGACTTCATCTCTACAATAAATTAAAAAATTAAGCCGGGCTCGGTGGCTCAGCCTGTAAACCCAGCACTTGGGGAAGCCAAGGCGAAGGGATTGCCTGAGCCCACGGGTTCGAGACCAGCCCAGGCAACTTGGCGAGACCTTGTCTCTCCAATAAATAAAAAATTAGCTGGGCGTGGCAGCGTGTGCCTGTAGTTCCAGTTACTTGGAAGGTTGAGGGGAAGGATCGATGCTGGGGTGGCCGTGAGTGAGCCACTGCACTACAGCCTGGGTGATGGAGTGAGACTCTAACTCCAAAAACAAACAAACAAACAAACAAAAAAAGCAAAAAACTCTGCCACACGGTGTCTACCCGGTCTCACTGGACACCAGGAAGGCTGTGTCCACTGAGGGCCGATGTTCATAGCGCCACCATGGCTGCATGCGTGCGAGGGGTCGGGGACGCGTATTCTCCTTTCTCTCGACCTGGCCCTCGGGGGATGCTGGTGGGGGGAACCCAGGTCTGAGGAGGCGTGGGGTGGCCTTACCAGATGGGCTGCTGCTTCAGGTGTGTGTACAAGTAGACCTTCTCCCCCTTCCGCTCGTCCTCTGGGCTGTGCACGGTCACTGCGGGGGGTGGGAGGCTGAGGGCAGCCCTCGGTGTGCACCCGCATCGCCAACTCCCCCGCACCCGCCTCCTCTCCTTTCCCGAGGGTCACAGATACATGGTTGCAGTCCCACCCGCTCCTCTGCCCGCTCCAGCCAGCCACGGCACTTGGCACTTTTTCCACCCGTGATGTGGCATCTGCGGGGAGGGGTGGCTCCATGGAACAGCCAGCACCCCTCCTGGGAACATGTGACTTAATTTCCCTGGGATTAAGGAGTTTAGTTCCTGCACGGCTTCCTTAGAAAGTGGCTCTTGGCTGGACGTGGTGGCTCATACCTGCAGCCCCAGGACTTAGGGATGCTGGGGTGGGAGCATTGCTTGAACCCAGGAGTTTGAGACCAGCCTGGGCAACATAGCGATATCTCATCCCTACCAAAAAAAGTTAAAAGGGAGCCAGGCGTAGTGGTGCACACCTGTAGTCCCAACTACTTGGGAGGCTGAGGCAGATGGATCGCCTGAGCCCAGGAGGTCAAGGCTGCAATGAGCCCTGATCATGCCACTGCACTCGAGCCCGGGCGACAGAGTGAGACCCCAACTCAAAAAATAGAGTGCCAAAAGTGGCTCTTCCACAGAAATGCAGTTAGCAAACAGACCACCGAGGCCCTGTGAGACCCACCCGTCCTCTGCGGCTTCTCCTTGGCTTTGTTCTCTTCCTCCCTGCAGGGGAGAAATCGCGTGAGGACAAACGTCGCCCAGGCCACATCTCAACTCCAAGGCGCCAGGTCACCTCACTGAGATGGGACTGCGGACATTTAGTGTCCGCAAGATTTTGATGACGGTCGACGCCAGGACTGCCGACTGCCAGGGCTTGGGGAGTAAGAAACGGGGGCGGGAGTGCCTCCATGTCCTTTTTTCTGAATCCAAGGCAGTCTCCGCCGGAGGAGGGAGGCCAAGTCGCAGGCGGGAGCAGGCCTTGGGGGGACCGGGTGGCTGAGGGCTCCCTCCTCCCTGTGGGGTCTGGGCTCCCACACGCCTCCACGTGCCTGTCCCCCCCAGGTCCCCGGAGCTCCCGGCCCACCCTGCTCCCCCGGCCGGGGTTTCTCTAGCGCCCCCGACACGCGGTCTCGCCCCAGCCTCTAGAGGGCAGAGGTCCTGCCACACGCCCCTC